GCAATCCCTTCTCCTCCATTCTCCTCTCGGGATCTTGGGCACACACGCACACGCGCCTGGCCTGAGTTTAGGCTGCCGGGTCCAGGACCTGAACCACGGTCAACTACGTGGGAGTCCAGCGACATAGCCATTACTGTTGGTCCCAAAATTAAATAAATTAAAAATAATAATAATTCAGGACCAGCAGGTGGCGTGATGATTAAGGTGCTGGACACTTCCACATGGCTGACCATGGTTCAAGTCCTAGACCTGGTGGCTTGCTTTCCCACTTTCCCTCTCTCTCTTGCTCTGTCGCTGGTTAGATTAAAATAAATGAATGAATAAATAAAATTAAATAAATAACTCAAGATAAATAAATAATTCTTTTTTAAAAAATGAAAAGAATAATTACACTGGGCATGTGTGCTTCCATGCTCAAAGTCCTAAGAGGAGAACGGAAGGATTGCAGTGTGGTCATTCCCCCTGAGGGATGATTTCTCACTCTCCATCTCTCTGGCAAGCACATGCACTAACAACAAGAATTAAATAAAAAGCTTTTTAAAGCTCATGTTTTTAAGAAACACACTGAAATATGAAGAGATTAATCAATCTGGTGGCCAACATATGCTTCATTATAATTCAGACAGAGCAGGGGAAGAGGCAGGTAAGGAGTTATAGGACCAAAAGGTAGAGTAGTGGTTAAGGTACAGGACTCCCACAAGGCTGACCACGGTTCGAGTCCCGGCCTGTTGGCTTGAAACTCACACCAGGCAAGTCCATGTGTGTGCCCAAAATCCCAGAGGGGAATAGAGAAGAGATTGCTGTGTGGCCATCCTCAAGGGGTGATTTCTCACTTTCTCTCTCTCTCTCTCTCTCTTTCATGAGCACCCTAAACAAAAACAAGAGTTAGAGAACCAGCAGATGGCATAATGGTTATGTTGTTGGATTCCCACACGGCCGACCACAGCTCAAGTCTTGGACCCGGTGGCTTCAAATTCACACCGGGCACATGTGCGTGCGTGCCCAAGATCCCAAGAGGAGAATGGAGGAGAAGGGATTGCCGCACGGCCATCCCCCCTGGCGGGTGATTTCTTGCTTCCTGTGCATGTGCCCCATAGCAAAAACCTCTCCAAAATAAAAAATACAACCCCCCAAAATGGAGCTTATGCAGAACTTAATGTCACATGGACAGGGCCACTTGGGGTGCAGTGAGTGAGAACCTCCATGTGAGGCACATCGAGCCCTGGTAACCGTGCATCCCAGCCTTGGGGTTTGCCTCTGTCACCCTCAGGAATATCTGCTTGTCCCTTAAACTAAGGCAGGGCTCCAGGATGCTTCCCATGGACCTTACCGCTTCCTCCGTGGTGCCTGCCAGGGCTAGGACATCCCCTTGATTTGACTGTTTCACTAATATCAAGTACCCTTACACACAGAGCCAGAGGCTCAAAGCTGAGACCATGCTGAGACAGACAGAAGGGTCCCAGCAGAGAAAAGCCAACTCAGAAGCTTCAGGGAAAGATGCCTCTGTGTCAAGAATGGGAGGTAAGGACCAGCAGTTACTGTAATGGCTATGTCGCTGGACTCCCATGTAGTCGACCCCGGTTCAAGTCCCGGACCCGGTGACTTAAACTCATGCTGGGCGCGTGTGCATGCGTGCCCAAGAACCCAAGAGGAGAATGGAGGAAAAGGGATTGTGGCATGGCCATCCCCGCTGAGGGATAATTTCTCCCCTTCTGTCTCTCTGTCTGTCTCTGTCTGTCTGGCGAGCGCACACGCCCTATAGCAAAAATCTCTCAAAAAAAAAAAAAGAGAAAAGAAAAAATAATAAAATTAAGTCTTAAAAAAAAATGGTAGATAACCCTTGGAAGTAAACCCACAAGCATCACTACATGGGTAGAAAGATGTTTCCCATGTTACTTTATAAGCTCTTATATTGTTTGAAAATTTTTGGGGGGAGTAATTATTTAATTTCTTTTGTTCATTACTATTATTTAATTTGTCTAGACAGAGACAGAGAGAGAGAGAGAGAGAGAAAACAAGGAGAGAGAGAGAGAGAGAAAACAAGTAAGGAAGCCACCAGGTCCGGGACTCGAACTGTGGTCGTCC